CCCCAGGACCGACCCTTGGGGCACTCCACTTGATACCGGCTGCCAACTAGACATGGAGCCATTGATCACTACCCATTGAGCCCGACAATCTAGCCAGCTCTCTATCCAATTTATAGTCCATTCATCCAATCCATACTTCTTTAACTTGCTGGCAAGACCGTGGTAGACCATATCAAAAGCGCTGCCAAAGTCAAGATATATCACATCCGTTGCTTTCCCCATATCCACAGAGCCAGTTATCTCATCACAGAAGGCAATCAGGTTGGTCAGGCATGACTTGCCTTTGGTGAATCCATGTTGACTGTTCCTGATCACCTTCCTCTCCTCCAAGTGCTTCAAAATGGATTCTTTGAGGACCTGCTCCATGATTTAGCCAGGGACTGAAGTGAGGCTGACAGGTCTGAAGTTCTCCGGGTTCTCTTTCTTCCCTTTTTTAAATATGGGCACGTTTGCCTTTTTCCAATCGTCTGGGACCTTCCCTGATTGCCACGAATTTTCAAAGATAATGGCCAATGGCTCTGCAATCACATCAGCCAACTCCCTCAGCACCCTTGGATGCATTAGATCTGGATCCATGGTGCAGAGCTTGTGCATGTCCAGCTTTTCTAAATAGTCCTTAACCTGTTCTTTCACCACTGAGGGCTGTTCACCTCCTCCCCATACTGCGTTGCCCAGTGCAGCAGTCTGGGAGCTGATCTTGTCTGTGAAGACCGAGGCAACAAAAGCATTGAGTACTTCAGCTTTTTCTACATCATGTGTCACTAGGTTGCCTCTCCCATTCAGTAAGGGTCCCACACTTTCCCTGACCGTCTTCTTGTTGCTAACATACCTGTAGAAACCCTTCTTGTTACCCTTCACATCCCTTGCTAGCTGCAACTCCAGTTGTGCCTTGGCCTTCCTGATTACACCTGTGCATGCTCTAGCAATATTTTTATACTCCTCCCTAGTCATCTGTCAACATTTCTACTTCTTGTGAGCTTCCTTTCTGAGTTTAAGCTCACGAAGATTTCACTGTTAAGCCAAGCTGGTCACCTGCCATATTTGCTATTCTTTCTGCACTTCAGGATGGTTTGTTCCTGCACCGTCACTAAGGCTTCTTTAAAATACAGCCAGCTCTCCTGGACTCCTTTCCCACTCATAACAGCCTCCCAGGGGATCATGCCCATCAGTTCTCTAAGGGAGTCAAAGTCTGGTTTTCTGAAGTCCAGGATCTGTATTTTGCTACTCTCCTTTCTTCCTTTTGTCAGGATCCTGAACTCAACCATCTCATGGTCACTGCTGCCTAGGTTGCCACCCACTTCTACTTCTATTTCCCCTACCAATTCTTCCCTGTTTGTAAGCAGCAGGTCAAGAGGAGCACAGCCCCTAGTTGGTTCATCCAGCACTTGTACCAGAAAGTTGTCCCGAACACTCTTTAAAAACTTCCTGGATTGTGTATGCATTGCATTTATGCCTTTGTTCACCACAATGAAGAGCCCTCCTGTATCACACTTCTGTTGTCCACATAGGTACGTATAGACTATGAGCAAGACACCCCTTCCCTTTGCAAAGCAAAATCGACCCCAGGAGCTCACTCTGTCACTGTACATCTTGTTTTCCAGTCCTTTAATCATTCTCTGAACACAATAGTGTCCAGCAATGGTCCAGCCACAGCCAAATACAGAGGTAACATAACCTCCCTATTCTTCCTGGATATTCTCATTTACGCATCCAAGGCTTGCATTAGCCCTTTTGGCCACAGAATTGCCCTGGGAGCTCAGGTTCAGCTGATTATCCACCAGTCCCTCAAGTCTTTTTTTTTTTTAAGTAGTCCCTGCTTCGCACGATAGAGTGCCCAATCCTGCAAGTGTGGCCTACATTCTTTGTTTCTAGATTCATAACTCTGCATTTGACCATATTAAACCATAAATTGTTTGCTTGCGCCCAGCTCACCAAGCGACTCAGACTGCTCTGTCAGCAACCTGTCTCCTTCGTGATTTACCCCTCCCCCCCCCACCACACACACTCTGTGCAATCTGCAAACTTTATGGGTGATACTTTTTGGTTTTCTTCCAGCTCGCTGATAAAAATGTGAAATAGTGTAAGGCCAAGAACCGATCCCTGCAGGGTCCCACTATACACACACCCGCTCAGTGAAGATTCCTCATTTACAATTCTGAGACCTGTCTGTTAGCCAGTTTTTAATCCATTTGTTTTGTGCCATACTGTTTTGTTTTAATCATTCCAGTTTCTCTTACAAAGTAAGCCTGGGTGTGAATTTAGAGGACAAGCACTATTTCACATTAACTCCCCATGTGGTTAACAATGAAATTGTCAACACAGAGAGCTATTATAGAGTAACTATTCCCACCTTGAACAAGCCCTTAGTTTATATTAGTGCAACCCCTTCGTAATCTGTAGCAATTTAGCCGTGTGTAAACTAAGCCAGAGAAATGTGATGCAGGGCTCCTAGCAGCCTCTCTTTGGCTAGGTTCCCATGTCCCTTTTATTTATTTATCCCTTTTATGTCCCAGGATTCTCCAGACAACCCCTGTCTTACTGGACTCCCACCTCCAGGCTCCTGGAAGCTCCTTATATCCATTTCCTCCCACCACAATCCCAGGACAGCTAGGTTCTCAAGGCTCCCATTAAGGAGCCCTCAGCCTGGCTGGAAGGAAGGTCCTGCATGGCAAGGTTTTCTCATCACACTTCTGGGAGTGCCCAAGACCAGTATAGATCCAGAGCTAGAGTGGTGTGGGATGAGAGATGTGGCTGGGTGAGCGCTTTCCCCGTGAGATGAAAAGTTAGAGGGACAGTGGAACTAGTACCTAGGAGTCCTGCCTCTCAGTCACGCCCTGGGTGCCTGAGAATGAAGTTACTTGTCTCCCACCCAGGCTGAGGAGTGGTTTCTTCAGCTAGGGCCTGATTGAATGTCACATACACCCTGCAAAGATCCTCAAGGAGATGCTCCTTTGTCCCCCTGCAAAACCCCTGACCAGTCCCTTCACATACACAGTAAGGAGGCAGATGCCTTTGCAGTTCCCAAGTGTAGACCCACACATGACCTGAGTGGATCCAGCAGGAGGAACTCAAGGGCTGGGGGCCTGCACTAAGTGCCTAGGGGTATCTGCCCTCCTTGGTCCTGCCACAACACCGTCACAAGGGAACAAAGAGCAGTATGGTGTGAAAACCGGGGTGCAAGCAGGACCAAAAACTGGAATTTGGGGGGTGGGGCAGCAGGGGAGGGGAAGGCCATAAGAAGAGGCTGCAGCAGCCAAGGTAGGAGGTGGCCAAGATGTAGAGAAGCATTTTAGGCCCAGAGGTGGGTGGGTGGGTGTGTCTGTGTGTGTGTGAAGTATAGGCACAATGAAAGAAAAGCCAGCATACAAGGGGAGAAAAGGAGCTGGGTGTCACTGTAATCAGAACAGCAGAGTATACAAGTGAAGAGAAGAACTGGTGGGCAGTGGGAGGGGAAAGAGAGGAAATCAGACTGCAAACTGTTTCTAAATATGCAAATTTTATTCATCACAAGAGGCATGATGAAAAGTGACCTCAGGACGGTTCTGGGAGAGGGAATAAAGGGTTCTCCTGAAAGAGGCTCTGTACAGCAAAGAAACAATAACCTTGTTCACTACATCCCATGACCAGCATGTTCTCACAGGCACAGCTTCTCTGCATCCTAGTCAGCAAAAGCTGTAGTCCTCCACGAGGACAATGAGAAGTTCTGAGTGGCAGTGACCGTGACCAACAGCCATTCTGAAAGTAGATATTCAGAGGAATCAGAATAATTGCTCTTATTGAAATAACTTAGGTATTTCCTCAAATAAATATAAGCCAAAAGTCCTCCCCTCCCCCCTCTGCAGATTTCATTTGTTGCAAACTCCAAAGTACACACAGAGAAGGACTTTAAAGTTGATCTCTAATTTCTCTGGAAGATTCCCAGTTAGGTAGAGCCCCAGGTTATTCATTAGTTACCCCTTTAGTTCATTGTGCTCTGATGTGGTCTCAACTGAACATCAGAAACAGCAAACTGGTTAGGGCTGCAATTCTGAATTCGGAGAGAAGAGTTTATTTGACAGCTTCAGGGATTGTCCGATCACTACAGACTAACTGCAGTCTCTGCGCTGCCTGGCACAAAGTACCTTCCCTTGTTCTCTTCATGCCACCCACAGTTACTGTGCAGTAATGAGCTATAACCAACTAGCGTAGAGTGTTCTCCAGTCTCAGCTCCTTATCATTGGCTGATTCAAATCCCTCTGCCCACTCACCATCTTCCTTTTGCTCAAAAACATTGTTTCCTCTACACTTCATCCATACATATCACGTGGAAGTGACAGGAGGAGAACAACCTGGGTGTACTGGTTGATCACAGAATGACTATGACCCACCCATGTGACTTGGAAAAGGCTAATGCCTCAGGTGAGGTATTTCCAGTAGAGACAGGAAAGTGTTTGTACCCTTATACAAGACACTGGTGAGACCTCATCTGGAATACTGTGTGCTATTCTGGTCTCCCATGTTTAAGAAAGATGAATTGAAACTGGAGCAGGTGCAGACAAGGGCGGCTAGGATGATCTGAGGAATGGAAAACCTACCTTATGAGAAGAGATTCAGAGAGCTCGGCTTGTTTAGCCTAACCCAACGAAGGCTGAGGGGAGATATGATTGCTCTCTATAAATACATCAGAGGACTAAACACCAGGGAGGGGGAGGAGTTATTTAAGTTAAGCGCCAATATGGACAGAAGAACAAATAGATATAAACTGGTCCTCAACAAATTTAGGCTTGAAATTAAATGAAGACGTCTAACAACCAGAGGAGTGAAGTTCTCAAACAGCCTTCCAAGTGGGGGTAAAAAAAACCTAAATGGCTTCAAGACTGAACTTGATAAGTTTATGGAGGGGATGGTCTGATGAACCTGCCTACAATGCAAGGTCACCAGTCTGTGACTGCTAGCAGCAAATATCTCCAACAGCCTGTGATGGGACACTAGATGGGGAGGATGGACTTATTACAGAGAATTCTTCCCCAGGTGTCTGGCTGGTGGGTCTTACCCACATGCTCAGGGTCAAACTGATTACCCTATTTAGAGTAAGAAAGGAATTTTCCCCCCGGGCCAGATTGGCAGAGACCCTGGGAGGGTTTTGCCTTCCTCTGCAGCATGGGGCACTTGCAGATTTAAAACTAGTGTAAATGGTGGATTCTCTGTAACTTGAAGTCTTTAAATCATGATTTGAGGATTTCAGTAACTTGGCTAGAGGTTAGGGGACTGTTAGAAGGGTGGTTCTGTGGCCTGCAATATGCAGGA